TCACATTGGGGAGGATCTTGGTGCTATGGCTGCTGCTTCGCCTCTGGCTCCTGCTCCTGCTCTTGCTCCTACTCTTGCTTCTGCTCTTGCGTATGTTCTTGGTCTTGCTCTAACATCACATCTCCCGAAATTCAACATAGGCGTTAAAAGCCGGAAATGATGTCAGGATGACTTCCCGGAAAGTGAGTTCAAACATGGGGAAAGTGGTTAACTAGTAGCACGAGTCACACTGATTATGGATTATGGATGTCTTCATCTGTGCATCTTATGGGATTCTTGCCGCAGGAGCAGATCATCATTACCCTGTTCAACCATGAATCGTTATTGGGAGAGTTCGACATTCAGGATCTGAGTTAGCGTGCTGCATGCCACCTGTCATCGTTCCACATCCACCCAAGGTAACTTCTAGCATGGCGCTGCAGAAAGCATCTCAGCTCCTGCACTCACATCATGCTTCCTTCCTGTTTCCCAACACCTACGTACTCAAGCCCAGGCGCCATTGTTGGAATACCACCAATTGACCATTAATCGACCCTTGGTGGCAAAGATCGGGTCCGTGTCGCTGCCGCTCATGCCTGGCTTCATGTACCTGGTCTGGGCTAGGCATCGGCACAGGAAATGGTCTGCTCCGGACCCTGAGCTACTGGCACACGGTACGAACCGAGGGACGAAACAACGCCCAAACCTTCAAGCCTGCGGCTTGTACAAAATGGAACCCTCTATCCCAAACCCGATAACCTCGAGACCCTTTACCCTCTTTATCCTCTTTTCGACTGGCCGAGTCACTCGAAGACAGGGCCGCCAGTGCTTGCGGCTCGCCTGCCAGGATCGTGCTCCTGCGCTGTCAATCAGGCGTCGGAGCAACTGTCATATCTGTCGGCACCATCTAGCAAACACCTTAAGTGACCGAGAAATGATTTTGAGACGGGTGACTGCTGTGCAGTTGCTGCTGCTGGTGGTGGTGGTGGTGGTGGTCGTGGTGGTCGTGGTGGTCGTGGTGGTGGTGGTGGCAGTACCGGCAGTAGCAGTGGCAGGATAGTAACGGCAGTAGTAGCACTTGGAGGAGCAGGAGGAGGAGGAGGAGGAAGAGTCGTAATGGCATAGAAGCCCAGTAGGCTCAGGGACTTTGAGACTCGGGAGGTTGATTGAGTGGATCGAAGGACAGATCAGTCCTGAAACAGCTCCAGCAATGACTTCTCGGGTTCGGCGAGCTCCCAGACCCTCACTGCTTCACACTTCTTGTCCATGTGCCGGGCGATGGCAAGATACTTCGCTTTCGTCTTCATGACATCTTTGTCTTTGAAGTCTTTGTCCAAAGCCTCTGCCTCTGTTCCCACAGCTGTGTCTTCCGCCCAGGGGCCACCGTACCCGAAGTTGTGTCCATCCGACGGGTTCACGTTTAAGGCGAGAGTCCAAACTGTTTTCTTCTTTTTGCAAACCTCTTTGACCAGACAGTTGTCTCCGCTTTTAAAACACTGGCCATAGCCTGCTCCTTTATCGAGCTTGGTGAAGTGCCCTTCGCAGTCATTGTGACTCAAATCGTCACAACTCGTGTGGCCGTGGGGAGACTCCGTGCCTTTGCAGAAGGGAGTCTCGTCAGTCTGACTCTGGATCTTCATTGCAAGGGTTCTGGTGCCAAGGAGAGCTGTCCATGACAGGCATTTCAGGACGCGGGCCGCCATGACTTCAGTTGGATCGGAAAAAAAGCTCTTGACTGTAAGCCAGCAAAGCTGATCGGCAAGTTGGTGTGGAGCTGCTATGTGACTTGCTTCGGAGCTTCAGTTCCAAGTACAGATCTGCCGAGCGTGCCGCGGCTGTCGGTGCAGAGCTCTTGAGACATTTGAGCGCCCGGCGCCAGGCTGAATGCCAACGTTCAAGTAGGGTCGGTACATCAAAGCCTGCCGATGCTGCAAATTGGAAGCTCCTACTTGGCCTGGAGGAAAGGTCCCTGCTCATAGGTGGAATGTACTGTGCTCAATTACGACCGGCGGCTGTCCGAATTTCAGGGTTGGGGTTTCTGGGATGTTTTCTTTCCTTCTGTCCTACATTCGGACCTCGAGGACAGCCCAAGCGTGCTCGAAGCGGACAGCCCCCTCGTTGTTCGCCAGCGAATGTCGGGCTGCGTAGCCTCGAAGCCCAGTGTGTCACGGGATTCTCTACGTCGGAGTTGGGGGGCCTTGAGAGTGGGGTGCTTATGTATATGTGCATATATATAATATATATATATATATATATATATAGAGAGAGAGAGAGATACATATATATATATATATATATACATATATATATATGTATATGTATATCTTAGCTCTAAAGAAGTATCAGCAATCATGACAATGGTATCGCGATATTGAACATATGTCATGGCCTTAATCAGGGACCTCAATCTAGTCAGCATCCCGTAGGGCCGCCCCACGCGGTAAGTCAGTTTCCCAGCTGGCCAAGAATTGGCAGGAACGGATGGGATCACGGTGGGGAAGCTTTTTAGTTAGCATATGTATTGCGATTGCATATCAAAACGAAAAGAGCAAGGCATGGTGATGCACGAAGTTTTCGGACTGCATGAATGCAGAAGGACTCCATTGTAATCAGATTTCCAACACGTGCAAGACCCAGCTTGCAACTGATGCCCTTCAACAAGTGCTCAGCCCAAGGCCCACTTCTGCAACAGCCTCAGAGGACAAGAAATAGAATGAGATGATACCACTGGTAACCCTGGATTTTGTGAGCAAGTTGCTCTGGCATCAACGCAGGCGAGCCTGTAGAAATTGATACTGATCTGAGTTCAGCTCATTCTTTACAGCGACAGGCATCGATTCCGTTGGCGATCAACATCGCCATCCGTCCATCATCTGTCACAGTCTTCTTCATCAGCATGGTCATCACCAGGATCATCATCACCATCACCGCCATCACCATCAAAACCAGGCTTCATCCGTCACCGTCTTCTTCATCATCATAACAGTCATCGCCCTCATGAGGGTCACCATCATCATCATCATCATCGCGAAAATTATCATCGCCAACCACTCCGCGCCAAGCCTTTCCGCTCGTGCTCAAAGTGACCTTCAAGATTGAACTGTGATCGCTAAGATGACGACACACGGCCACCAATGTCACCATCTACATCACCGCGGCAACCGGGACTATCAGCATAAGCAGAAGCATTCTCCTCATCATTCAGGTCCACACCGTCGGTTTCATCCTGCTCCTCCTCGTCATCATCATCATGTATCTGCTCATCCTCACCATCCTCCACATCCTCATCATCAACAACATCTTTACGACGAGTTTGCTGATGGCCACATGGACGTCAACTCCGATGGTGGCACCCCAGGCCTCGGTCTCGGGCCCCGACCCCCCAAGCAATGGATGACCCAGCAATACCCATCTTCCGGTCGAAATCCACGACACTCTCAATGCCCGTGTTACCGCAAGAGTGGTTGCTCCTGGAGTTCAGGGAGCAGCTGTCTTGGCATTTCAGATGCAACTTGGGGATGCCGAATCTTCAACTAACGTGGCGCAGAGGTGAAGGGCCGAGCCGTGCGCAAAACTTGAAAGAAACCCACGCCCGTAAACAAGGAGGACCCTGAGCCATCCCAGGCCACTTCTCCGACTCATGCTATGGGAGCAAGCGTGCCAGGTTGGCTGGCCCGGACTGCCACCAAAGCCAGCCATGGATGACATCACAAGGTTCACCTCCCGTCACGGAGCATGACTTAGCGTAACATTCGTGCATGTCTACCTGTGTGTATGCATGGATGCATGGATGAATGAATGGATGGATAGATGGATGGATTTCACGGCTGTAATGCATTGTTATGATGTCTTGCACAATGCAATGTGCTCGTACAATTTCATGTTGTGTGTGCCTGTGTATGTCTGCATGTATGCATGGCTGCATGAATGAATTTGAATGCGTGGTGAATGCATGGATGTTTGTGTGGATGCGTGTTCTTATCCTTGCGTCTTTTTAAGGTATGTGTGGTTATTTCATTGTATGTGCATGTATACATATGCACATGCGTGCATAATTAACAAACTCGCAATGCAGAGCCCTGAGTCATACATAAGCTTAGCAACAGAGCGGGAAGGTTGTGAACAGTGGCATTTGAGATACGATCCGTCGTGAGCCACCGCGGTGAAGCGTCTCGACCTGTATGAGCGAGACGACTCCCCCGACAGGCCTGCAGCTTTTGCAGGCTGTAGCCCCTGCTGCAGTGCCTTATCCAATCCAGACAAAGCGAAATCGACAACGATAATGATCGTAAGAGCAGCTGCTACAAGTTGCATACCGGCTGGCTCAAAACAGAAGATCCACGGAATGAGCATCTGGCATGGTGATGAAGATGATTGGCCTGTGTCTTCCCTATGGCACAAGAACGCGTAACCGCTGCGCTACCTCAAGTTATTGTCGTTTAGGGACTCAACTTATCGAAAGAAGTCTCACTCACACCTCGCCAAACCAGCTGAAGCCCTCGCTATTCAACCCAAAAGTCCCGAACCAGTCCCGTCCCGAACCCTACTGAACCAACTTACCCGAAATCCCCTCCCGCTTGGGAATCTCAGGGATGGACAGGTAGTAGCAACCGTGGAGCTTCGGGCCAAACACCTGCTTTTCTTCAAGGATTCTGTGTTTAAAGTTTGGGGTTTGCCCATAGGCTTCATAGCAATTCCTTTTTGGGGCTCATATGTAGAATCCTATCAGGTAACCCCCAAAAGGAACTACTGTGGAGCCTATGGATAGGGCAAGAAATGCAGGCTGCACAGATTAGGGCTGTAAGGGAGCAGGTGTCCTTCACTATGACCAGAGCAGTGTTCACACATCAGCATCCCTGTATGCAGCTCCATATGACTACGCCCAGGTTCAACCCTGTGCAAAGCAGCAGCACTCCCAGATTCCAGAACAAGACACGCGCGATCTGGTCAGCTACCTTGAGTCATCGACGAGAGAAGGCTCACTATGTATCTGCAACCATAGGCAAGTTGACACTAGATGCAAGCCGCCCAGACCGAAAATCGATCGCTTTTCAGCGTAATTTGTCTCCACATCCAGAGCAAGCACACGTACCAGAACCCCTGCCTCCTCGTACTTGGCACGAGTCTGCTTGGTGATGGTGCCATCTGACAGCACTCCGGCAGCATGGACGACGCCGGCCTTCCAGGTGTCAAAAAGCTCCCTCGAGGGTTTCAGGGTTTGCGTTTCAATCTCAAGGGCTTAAGGCTTAAGGTTACGGTGCTTCTAGCTTCCAGGATTCTAGGGCATAGGACATAGGATAAGGGGAATTAAGCAGAACAATCGCAGAATTTCAGGTTTCAGTGCTTAGGTGTCTGGGTTGAGGGGGCAGGTTGTTGGGCCGTTGTTGGCGCTTTCGATTACGTGGTCGGCTTTGGGAGGGCAGCGAGAACTTCGACCCCTTCCGACCCTGCTCTGAGAACGCCCTGCAAAGGGGGTAGCACCTTTCGGTGAGTGCTTGCGGGCTAAGGCCCTCACCGGATAAACAGAAGCTGTTCCTCCAAATACGCAAATCTCTGCTACATGCTGAGACAGTTGTTCCACCCACCCTCCCCCCCGCGCCCCAGAGACACTCTAAACGGCGCTACACCGAAGCGCTGATCCAAAGCTTGCACCCCCATATCTTCAGGCCCCTAAGACGTCACTGTAAACCTTCAAACCCCAAGCCCGAGCAATCCCAAGCAATTAAGCCCAAAGCCTCAACCCCCAAACCCCCCAATCCGCATAGACTCCTCAGGAAACCCTTTGCATTCTTGCAAACATCCCTTACGAAGCCCCTGAACTCCGAGGACGCGACGCAGGCCGGCCACTCCGGGGTTTCCTCGAAGAGCCGCGCGATCTGCGTGGGGTCGGCCACGTTGCCTCAGGGGCTGAGACAGCTTCGGGAATACGGCATGAAAAGGTTCAATTTTGACGGAAGCGGGTCTATTCGGGCTGCTTTGAAGGTGTAGGGTTTAGAGCTCACCACCAACACCACCACGATAAACTGTGATATTGTGGACTGCTTTAATTGCAGTAATTGTTGTGAGAAGCATAGCAGAGCTGCCACTGTTCGCCTTACGTCAGCTCCTATGTTGCACATGGTATCGCAGTTTCTACAGCTATTGCAACCGCTACTGCCGCTGCTTTCACTACGGCGACGACGAGGACTAATACTACCTCCCAGGATTTGGACCAGGACTGGGACCACGACTCCTAAAACTGCTACTACTGCTATTCTTCTTCTCCTCCTCCTCCCACTCACACCCCTACTCCCACTCCTGCTCGTACTGCCACTTTTTTGGCTACCATGTTTGTGGTTGTGAGGTAGTTGCTGGTGCTGCTGTACTTGGTCGTGGTGAACTTTTGTATCTCTAGCATTACCTGCTGCTGCTGGTGGCTCCTGATACCATGCCGGGCACAATTTCATGGACCATTGCCACCATGGTCATTGCTGCAACAGGTAGCATTTCTTCAATACCGTGACCCGAAAGAGCAACCGGATTGAGGCGCTGGCTGGCTACTTTCACAATATTTCTTGCTATGATTCGCGGTCATGTTTGCTGCTTAATGTGCTGATTCTTGCGACTGTTGAGGCTGGGTGGAGGCTTGCACACCCTAAAGCCTCACCTTAAACCCTAAACCCTAAACCTTAAGCCCTAAACCCTGAAACCCGGATAGCTGGGGCCATCGGCACTTCTCGCGACGGATATGGGCGCTGGACTTCTCCTGTCAGCAGTCGTTTAACTCTCGGCTGCCTAGGGCTTGCCGACCTCCAATGGGCTTTGGAAGACCATAGCCTACACTATAATATACTATAATGTACTATAATATACTATAATATACGATCATGTACTAAAACATGGTATAGTGAATAATGTATTATAACACAGTAGAAGTAGAAGATATGCTGATGCACTAGTAAAAATCTACCCTTACTGGTATATTGTATTCTTCCACATGGATTTCCCATGTCTTGCGATGGCTTCGTCCGTGCAAAGTGCTTTTCGCCGGCAGGCTAAACTCCAAGACACGCTGCTCAAGTCGGAAACTGACATCATGCCACCCTGAACCGTCTGAGCAAGGCACAATCTGCTCGTAGTAGACCATTGCTTCGTCTGGCACCTTCCAGCGTCGGCCGGGATGGCAAAGCAGTTACGGCTGATATGTTACATTGGCTATGTTACCTGACTCCATGACTCCGTGCCTTGAGCCTCAAAGCAGTCTATTCCAACAAAAACAGGGCCCTTCCCAGCCCCAGGTTCCAGTAGACTCGAGGAAGGGCAAGATCCAACTGCACGCAAGCTTTCGAGTCCCACTTGGTGCAAGCAAGGGTGCTTGAACAGTCACTACCTACTATCTACCATATATCATGATGTAAACAATCTTGTATTATCCTGTGCTATAGCACGGTTTCGTGCGAAGGAGGAAGGCCTTATCTCGGCGTGAGACGAAGAAGAGATGTCGGGCACCTGAGTTCAAGACGTCCCCTTTCTCTGAGATTTCTGAATTGGGGTTCAGCATGATCAAGTGACGGTAAGGGCACCTCTCCACATCATTCATCGAGGACCTCTTCAGCCGAACAGCAAGGAAGAGCGACGACGACCCGTGCGGCAAATCGAGCCCTCAGCGGCCCTTTCTTCATCTTCTACGTACTTGACCTTTTATTGGGAAGGTAGACGACAAGACAAGCATACCGAGGATCCTGTCGATGAGTCCCCCACCCCACTCCATGAGGATCAGCGCTGCAATCAGGCCCAATCCGCCCACGGCCCCGGTGATCAAGTAGGACCTCGGCGTGCCAAAGCCGGGCAGCCGCTGGGTTCGAAACGACTCATTATTGGATTGGTCTTTACATCCTGCTTTGTTCGAGCTTCTGCGGCGTCAATGTCCAAGGGAGCTTCACACGAGACAGCTCTAGGGGAAGGCAGAACTTGATTTGAAGATTCTGGCTTAATTTAAGAGGTGACCATCCGATTTCCCCGGAATACAGGGGCCTTAATAATCGGAATAGGGCTCCGGGGCCCATTATACTGTAGTTATAATAAGGAACCCTCAAAACTAGTATCGGTAACTAGTAAGGCCCCTACATATTAACCCAGGTCCCGGAAATGGAGCAAGGCTCTCCCGGAAGCCTGGCCTCAATCCAGACTCCAGACCGCTTGACATTCACCGTGCTCAACCCAAGTCGTGATCCCAAAAGATACTAAACAAAACCTTGCTGAACCGTAAATCCAAGGACACTAGATCCCAAAACCTCTAAATGCCAAGCCTTGCAGCCTTTAACTGAGGCTCTGGCGCATTCGGATCTGCTCGAACAAGGGGTTCGGGGCTGAGATATGTCGGCTTAACCTTGGCCGGTTCATGTAGTGGAGGGCCTTGAGGGTTTGGGGGTATACAGTATTGCTGGTTACCCAGGCACCTATATAGGAGTTTCCGAAAATAGGGGACCCTAATATAGTGCTTTAAATAGTAGGATCCTTACTATAAGGACCCCAAAATAAGGTACCTCTGATTTTCAGAAACTGCATGAAACTCCCATATTGGGGCCGGAGCATCGGTTTGAGCTTCAGGTAGTGAGGAGTGGGGTGGGGGAGAGGAGTGGGGCCATTGGGATCCGGAGACGCGGATGAGAGGATGAGTGAATCTGAAGCTTCTCGGGTTTGGGGGTACGAAGACCCTTGGAGCTTTCCGGCCTCATCAAAAATGACGGCTTTTGGGAGTAGCTTGAATGGGTTGAAGCCAGGGGCCGGGAGCTTTCGCCTTGCGGAGATTCAAAATCCCACGCGCCGAAGGTGGATCCTCTGGATTTTGTTATGTCTTATATCTACATTCCTGTAGTATAATTCGAGTATGGTATTAAGTCTTAGTTTACATTCCCATAGTATATATATATATATGTAGATATAGATGTATAAGTTGTATTGTATATGGATCCTGTGCGTGCATATGCCCCACTGTCATAGAGATGAGACGTGAGAGAAGCAGCAGGGCAGCCTTAACCCTAAGAGGAGATGCGGACTCCTCACGAAGGGCCCGGGCTAAGGTTCCGCACTGCGCCACCAGAATGGCTTGCTGGCTGAAGATGTGGCCCTGCTCGTTTTGTAAGCTCTTCGCCCAGACTGCTACTGAAAGTCGGGGAGAACTCCCAGCAACCACTGCTAGATCGGATTCACTGAGCTTCACAACAGCTTGCCTCGTCGGGCGTGGTCCAGACGTTTTTGAAGCCGCACTGGGTGAAGAGGGTCTGCCACTCGGCTACCCGAAGCAGCGGATATGTCACCCTCCTTGGGCCGAGGAGCAGCACCACAGACAGGAATGTCAATGCCTTCTTCTTAGAATCCTTAACAAGGTCGTGTTTGCTGGAAGGTTTGGCAGCACCCTGGCGCCCAACACCCGAATCGTGCTGACTCCTGCAAAGCTCCAAACTCCATGACCCCCGTCCCAAGCAGAAATAATCCGATGTGAAACGATGGCCTTTCAGTGTCGGTCAACATCCACCAACCATCTGTCAGGCCGTAGGTGAGATCCTTCCAAAGTTTGTATGCTTCTGATTCTGACACATGACACAGAGGACGCAGGGCTTCATTCCCAATCTGCTGGGAGTTACACGGCTGGCGGACTGGCATCAACATGATGCGACCGCATCACTTGCGATGACAACTTGTTTCCAAGCCGAAGACTTGCCCCAAGATACCTATGGCAGGTGAGCCGGTAGCTCTGGCAACCGGCTAAGTGAAGCATGGTATGCAGCTGCGAGACAGTATCGCCCCGAGTCCTCAATGAGCGTTCCTGGATTCTGCACCTGGCAACTTCACGTTCGACGCGAATCGTGTTCAATTCCTTCTTCCAGCAAGCCGATTTTTGCTTCATTCGCTGGACCAAAGATGAAACTGCGGGCTAACCTGGCGACTGACCCGAGAAAGCATTCCAAGACGATTCCGAAGCACCAGTCTTCCTCAACAACCCGGAGCTTCGTCCTATCAGGACCGGGTCTTGGAAGCGGCACCTCGTTGAAAACGATGTGTCCACCCGGCCGCAGCAGCACATGGATCGTTGCCATGGTAGAGGCTAAGTGCATCGTGGCGTGGATCACCTGGCTTGGTCGTACTCACATCCATCAAACTAGGAGCTCCAAACCCGCACAGCGCCATGCGCCCTAAACCCGGGCTTGCCGTCGGTAGCAACATTCCAGCAAGCAAACCGGCGTGATTATAATACAGGAGCAGCTGAACCAAGCTGGATTCGTGCCGTGTGATGCTCGTCTTAGCTGGCTGCTTCCAAGGTGCGTTTGTGGCCAAGATCGCGCTGATCTCGTGGCTGTTGAAGCCCTTGCCGAGCTGTTCTGTGGCGTGGCAATAAGCGAAACAACAACTCGGAACCTGGGCAACCCTGAACTCTATACCCCGAGAGGAAACAATGATGATGCAGAGATCTTGAGCCGGATGTCCCCTGCTCCAACAAAAACATCCTCCACAAGGATAGTCCCTCACTCAGCGGAGCGAAACATGCGAAATTGTCAACTCGGAAGCCCCAAAGCGAAACCCTGAACTCCCAAAGCCATTCAAACCCTTCACTCCACCGCAACTTCCCAGCGATCGCCAGCCGAGAGGTTAGGCGAAACGACTGCTTCCGAACAGCTTTGATTGCCTGATCACCAGGATGCTTGTCGCCATTGAAGATGGAGTACTCTATGAAGGAGAACCTGCAAACGGAAATTTCAGAAATAGGGGGATATCGAATCCCAGACAGCAACACGAAACCTGTTTTGAAGATCCTTGCGAAAACAAGGACAGATGCTAAGAAGCCTCCACTTTCGGAAGCAGAGACCAAGGCGCGAAATGACTGAATACTGCTTGCCCTCTAGACTACATTGACGACATCTCTGTCAACAAAAGCGGACACGGTACTGAGCAATATGGGAGTTTCGGAAGAAAAGTCAAGGAATCGACCCAGGTTGGGCACAAGCTTCAACCCGAACAACTAAGCCCGTGATCCAAGAAGTCTGTTCCCCATGTGCCCTTATGGAGTCACTCTGTCGATGGGTGGAAAGAAAAAAGTCGGCCACGGTAGAACGCTCTAAAGACATCGAAATTCGGATGCAGTCTCTCTCTCTCTCTCTCTCTCTCTCTCTCTCTCTCTCTCACTCTCGCTTGACTCTCTCCCCGGCCTTGAAAATCGCGCCCGAGCGTTGGTCAGGAATGCTTGGGACAGGTCGCTGAAAACATACCTAGCAAAGCAAGTCGTCATCACGACTCCAATGCAGAGGCCGGTGTTCCATGGACTCGCTGCCTGGAGCTGTGCGGATTTAGCACCGGCAGGACGAAGGAAGAGGTGCCGCCGGTTCCGGAACCTGTCTGGAGACTTCCACTGGGCTGAATGGAGAGGATTGGTGCTTTCTTTGGTTCCGGCAAATTGAGGATTCTTCATCACTCTCACAACAGCATGTCCTTTGCAAACTCTGGACACTGTCGAAGTGTCGTTTGGACTTGTGACTTACAGCCATCAGGGTAGTGACCTGCTGAACCCTCCCAGGCCTTAATCTGGCTTAGAGTTTAGGCTTGGGATCCGAGTCGCGAAGAGGATTGATGAAGTTTTCGGCATCGATGCTGCATCGGTGGACCTTTGAACTACGACTGACTGCCCGCCTATCTCGAAGACGTACAGGCCCTTCTCGGACGACATCACAGGATTCTTCATGTCCTGCAAGATCTTGAAAACCTGTCAGAGTCAGGTCAGGGTTTGGAGCGTACGGGTTCAGAGTTCAGATAAGGTTCAGACAGGGTTCAGATGGGGGCAGCCCTGAAGTTTGCTTATTTCTACCGTTTCACGTTTTCAGCTCAATCCCCATATCTACGAATCAGCAGAGTCCTCCAACTACACACTGAAACCCCACCAGCCCCTACACTTAAACACTGTAGTTAGCACCATGAGCCACTCCTGTCACGGGCGGCTGCCTCCACGCAAACCTCGTTGCACAATCTGGCCTGGCCGTGAAGCTCGTCTTTATGGAAAGATGGGCGAACTTCTGTGTGGCGATCGATGGCGATGGCTTTCAGTTCAGGTGTATAGGGCCTCAAGGCCTCGGCTTTTCATGGTGGAGGAATCATGTTAAAAGAAGCAACTGTCCTTTGCCACGGGTGCCTTGAGACTTCGCTGCTGTTGGGAATTCGGAGAGCAGGAATTCAGGCCAGGAATGAACTCCCCTGCGCCCAACTGTCACCCTGCCCCAAACTCAGAGAAGACTTCAAGACTTCAAGTACCTATACCCTCATGGCCTGCGGATCATCCTCGTAACCTTCAGTGGCCGCTCCGAAGGAAAGGCCCCCATCGCCGCTCATGGTGCCCGGACGTCGCAGAAGTCCAAATGAACGAGGTCTCTTTACGGCTTTTTAAACAACCCCATTCGGGGCTCAGGGTCAGAAGCTTAGGGTCTCGGAGGGCTGTGCTTTATGTAAGCGTGCATACCGCAATGGCGCGGAGGGTCAAGAACATCGAGCTGGGGCCACTTTGTCTCTTATCAAGCTCCAACCATATGCAGGCACGCCTAACATTATTCGGGGCTGACGCCGGTGAGTGCTCCATTGAACTATAGGTAAGTAAAATCAATCAATGTGTAGACGATCGGAGTAGTTAACCCGCTGACAATGCCTCTGCATGCCTCATAATTCTCTATATATACATATAATATATATATATATATAAAGAAGTCACTCTTCTTCACTACTCTTGCTCTGAGCAGGATTCCATGCCGGTGACACCAACCTGGAGGGCCGCGAAACATTCGACCCCGAACCTCTCCAAATCGTCAGCACGGAGTGCTGTGGATGCACTGTTACTGCTGTTGCTGTTGCTGCTGGCAGTCCTCAGAGGAAAGAATGGGCGGTTTGGGCGGTTAGGGTGGCACTAAGTGCTCGACAGGTTTGGAAGACTGGCAGGGTGCAGCAGGAGTTAAGACAGTAGCGAAAACAAACCCGATAATAACGCGGACTTTTCATACACTGATAGTAATGCTGCTGCGGTTTGCATAGGACCTGGCCTATCAGCTAGCAATCACACATACAGGAATAGAAAGGCATCGCCCCTCCTTCCCCAGTTTGGGGTTGAGTCCAGGGCAAGTCTTCGGGTTTTTGGGCGTCAGTGGGACTTGAATCGGATTGACTTGAGGATACTTGAGGTGTCCTCAGAACTTGTCTGCGAAGAGTCCGCTCTTCGTTGCAGACGCATCCTGCCAGTCTCCACACCTTTTTCCTCTGGGCGCGGAAGCCTTGGGCAGATTGCAGATTGCAACTATCCACATCGACCCGCATCGCCGCGGGTCACAGCTCTTCCTTCGACTTCTTGGCTCGGATCTCTTTCCGGGACACCACTTCTGCTCAAATTCAAACTCCCGATAACAGCGAAGGGATTTGGACCCAATCCAGAAAAGCCTCCGAGCTTCTTCTAACCGACTTGGAAGACTCCGGCCCCTCTCAAGCATCGAAACTCTGTGGGAATCTGCCACGAGCCCTAAGCTCCTGGCACCCTGACAGGGATACCAAGATACATAAACGTCTGATTCATGATCTGCAGACAGATCCCACTTTCATTCCGGGCAGGACTTCCTCGAAGTGCTGCGGGGGCACTAAAATTCTTGGCGTGCTACATGCAAGAGTCGAAACATGTCTTGCACCAATGTCGTGGGGGACGGGGCAGGAGGGCCTTGTAGCGCTTGTGGGAAAGACATTGTGTCAAGGGCGAGTTTGTACTCGCGTGCAGTCCTAGCCAAGGGATAGGCAGAGTCTTACTCCGCTGGAAGACATTGTCCCCGAGTTCCTGGCGGAATAGCTGACTTACATCTCTCCGCAAGACTGGGCTTAACACAGCTACATTACGGGCTATGTCCATCAAACTCTTGCTTTTTGCCCCTATAGCCTCTCCATGCACCGCAGTCGCACAGACCAAAGCACGACAAAAGGGACGGAGACCATCGGACCCTCAGACACGTCCTGAGAGCTCCAGGCTCCGCACTCCAGGTTGAACCGGCCTGGAAGGGATACGATTCAAGCGCATGATGTGGGATCGAAGAAGGCTTTAATCTTGACCACAAGGGTTTTGATTGGGATGTCCTGTCTCGGGTCCCTTTCTGCATGTAATCTTGCAAGCAGAACCCTGCAAAGCCTTCCGCCGCGCAAGAAGCGGCTCTAACAAGCTGCGAACCTGGGCGGCCGATGGTTCAGAAGCACACTTGAGGTGTGCAAGAGATTACGGACACAGGGATCAACATGAAGACCGTCGTCATTAAAAAACATCCTCGCGATAGCGATCGCAGCCGCAACAGCCGAGGGCGCGGCTGTGGTTGACGTCGGTGACAGGTACGCACCGGGCAGCACAGCCTGCGACTGCAGACGCGAGACCCGGGCTGCAGCACTCCCAAAGCAGCACCCCAACTTTTGCCTGTACTGGCTCCCCGGGATCTTTGGCGCCAGCCACGGCCAACTTGAAGACTTGCCTGGTGCAAATTACATGACGAAAGCGGAAGCCTAGCCTCGCGGAGATACAGGAAAGGGACAAAACCGAACATCCATTAACTGTTCTAGTATGACAAAAGGGGATGCTGCAAGTATATGTTGAGTGGAACATCTTGCCACTGCCAGGAACGCTGGAACTGTCCAACCCACAGCAGCAAGGCAAAGGAATTTTGCAGTTGCGCATTGAAGTGGGCATGATGCCGATGACGACGCAAGCCCGAGCTGGTCGAAGAACAACAGTAGCAAGCAAAAGTAGTAAGTAGTAAATGCAAGCAGCTGTCTTGTAAGCTGTCGTCGGAGTCGAGAAAAAGCAGGAATCTCTGAGCTTGGCATCGCTGGTTTCATACTATATACATATGTAGTTATACATAATGTATTTATACACATAGAAGATAGGCAGGTAGATAGATAGGTACATATACTCAATGGCTGAGGAGCGTCTCGGGTTTACGGTTCTTGCAAAATTTTGGCCGGGCCTGCCTGAAACTGTAGTTCCTAAGGCTGCTATCAGGGTACGAGGTCTCTCTGGTCCGGCCTCACCACGCTCAGGCTGATGCTGCTCTTGGCCGTCTTCTTATCCAGGCCTGGTGAGGTGCCGGGCTTTCTGACGGCCTGAACCCTATCTATGCCCCGAAAACCGAAAACCCTTTCGAAATTGAAGCCCTGATGGATCAGAGAATAATCAACAAACAACATGTCAAATGTGGAACCAACCGCCATGCTCTTCGACAGAAAGCTGTCGATGCTACATCCTGCTGTATGATGGCTGTTGAAACTCGTAGACACAGCGAGCCCGTGTAGTTGCTTCTCTCTTCAATGCGATCCCATTGCCCAAAACCCCCAAATTCCCTAGACCTAAAAGAATCCCAAACGCTCAAAACCCTGAACTTTAAACCCCTACAGCCTATAGACATCGTAGACCCTGAACACCAAACCCAAAACGCAACACGCTCTCAGTCCGGCCTGAGGACAAGCCATTCCAATACCCCTCCCTTGCCGTCGGCTCGGGCTCCTCGCGGCATGTCCGGGCTAAGGGTTTTGAGTTTTTCAGTTTAGGGCTTACAGGCTTAAACACAATGTGGCTGCAAAACAAGCTTTAGGCAGTTTCAACGGCTGGTCGCGCCAATGTGCCTTGGACTGTCTACTGCTGTAGCCAACGGCATCCGCAACCGCAAAGGTCCTAACGTTGAACTTGCGCTCCTTGCGCGGACCCGTAAGCTTCAAGCTGCCTGTGGCCCTCCCATGAGTCTCGACAAGGCCTCCTTAGGGATCAGGGCTTTATCTCAACCCAAAGGTCTCCTCTGGCCAGGGATCGATTGCCGGCCTCAATGCTATTCTCAGGGTTTGGAGCTTCAGCTGTCGGGGTTCGGAGTTCGGGATCGCGGCTGGACGCATGAAGGTTCAGGGGCTATAGTCCATAGTCCACTGAAGCTTCATGACCTCTCGATCAGGTTCCGGTGATTCCAGTATACTCTGGCGCAGCTCTGCCGACCGGAGTTCAGGAGCCGAGCTCTGCTGCTCTGGGCACGAATTCAAAGCATCAATGATGCCACGGAGTCATGCGTGTTCGCGTTCAACGAGGCTGTCTTGCTACTTGTGACCATGTGGCTCACCTCAACGGTCAGCGACGTGATCGGCCCGCCGCGGCTTGGGGCGGGTGGTGGGCACCCACCACTCACCACCACCACCCCCACCATCAGTACCACCACCGCCCTGCCACCACCACCACCATCCGGCAATCCGAGGGTCCGGACCACTGCAGGCTGACGGCAGGTAGGTCGTGCGCAGTCCGCAGCCTCGCGAACTCGCTAAGGTTTCGGTTTTGTGGAAGGCTTTGTTCCGTCTGCCAGAGCGCCTTCGAAGTTGGGGGATTTGGTGTTTTGGGCTTCGTTTTCGGGTGTCGAGCTTCATGATCCAGGGCTTTGAGGCATTAGGGTCTGGCGGGCTGCAGGATGATTTAGGGTTAATATGTCATACGATAGTACAGTATCGTAACAAACATTGTCGTATATTCTACTATAACCTATAACATCCTATAACATATTATGATAATTAGTATTGTAGTGTATGCTACTATAATCTATAGTAGTATACTATGACAGGATGATTCAAACATGGGGCTTTAGGGAAAGGCTTCGAGTCCGGAGCCTCGCCAACTCATCGAGGTAGGCACTGGCAGCAGCGTAGTTGGCCTGAGGCTTTGGGTTTGGGATGTAGGGTTTAAGGTTTAAGGCTTTTGCTTAAGTGTAATGCACCTTTGACTCCTTAGGTTTAAGGTTTAGGGTTTAGGGCTGGGGGTTTAGGGTATAGGATTTAGGGTTGAGGGTTTCAATGATCTTTGGGATGGGCCTTTGGGAAGGCTCAGGGCCAAAAGAGGGTGCAGGAGGTTGAAGGCCTTTGGTGGGCTTTGGGGTTAACGGGGCTTCGGGCTTGTACGGGCTACAAAGTGATTCAGGATGTTTTCTTCGCTCTGTAGGGGTTCGGGGGTCTCGGTAATCAGTTTATATTTGCGCAGTACAGGAGTTTCGGAAGCACGAGTACGGTGCTTGAGTGAAGCAAACTTCTGGACAGGCACGGTACCAAGTTTCAGGGTGTGATGGTTGGAAGCTTGCCCAGGCTTAGGAGTGTGACGCTCCAAACTCACGAAACCACCCCTTATCCCCAACGCCCTAAGCCCTAACACCCTAAAGCCTAAAGAACTAAACCTTAAACCCCCAGCCTTAAATCCCGAACCCCGAAAGCTCTGAACCCCGAAACCCTCAACTTCAAAGTGCCTGCCCACGGCTGCCGAAGAGTGCAGCTACGGAGGAGCAAAGCACGAAGGCGTGCAGCCTGTCTCCCATCGTGTGGCCTCGATCGCACCCACTCTGTGAAGGCTTAGGCCTTCAGAATTGGAACGAAGTTGAGGGGAAAACAGTGTTGTAGCAGCAATCCAAAGTGTGCTGAGAATGGTAAGAAGAAGAATCACAGCAAGCAATCGAACAAATATGTGTAT